TCCCATTTACTGGGAAAACAGGCGTGAAATGGATGGATGTAAAACGTCCTGCAGTCTCACAAAACAGTGAAAGCAGCTTCAAGTGAGCCGACCTTTGACCCCTGGAATTTGAGTAATTACAGTTCCAGAGCAAGTGGGACTTTTCGGCCATTAAGGAGCCCAAAAAGAAGTGACGGGCCTACAAATACGCTCGTAATGGGACTGACTAATGGGAATAATGGGGGTTAAAAAATGGGGGGTCCAAAATGTGGGGGGGGGGGGGGCGACTGGATGTGTCGTCACGGCAACAGCTGCGTCCTCTCAAAGCTGATTTGATGGAAACGGTGACAAAAAGACACCTAACAGAGACAGGCTGAGAAACTTTGAGAGATCACGTCCTGTTTTAGAAGTGAAACCGACAGAATTGGACCATTAATGGGATTTAATTAAAAAAAAAAAAACAGCCCTGTTTTCCACTTTTCTGTCTCATTAACAGATACAGAGGCATTCCTAATGATCCAAAACTGAATGAAAACCTTTGAGATGGAAGATGTTTAACAGCTCCTTTAACTCCGTGGAGCTTAACTGTTTAATAGGTTTGTGGGTAAATGTAATATATATATATATATAAAAAATAAATAATAATAATAATAATAATAATAATAATAATAATAATAATAATAAAAAATAAATAAATAATAAAAATATAAAATATATATTTTATTTATGGAGCTATAAACAAAAATAATTTCCCTCTGGGATTATTAAAGTATTTCTGATAATATTTTTGCCTTTTTTTTATGTATTCTGTACAGAAAGTCTAAAAAAATATCTGAAATACGTGGGAAAAGGTTATTCTGCTGTGTGAACATATGGTCAGCGGTGGAAAGCAGGACGGATCTCCACAGTGTGGCACGAACAAAAAAGCCAGGGCATCTGGGGGGGTTAATACTTCCTCTCTGCTTAGGGAGGACCAGCAGAGACTCACATTATCAAAGCAAATGAACTGGGACGTCTCAGGAGTGAGAGCAGAGAAGGAAAAACCCAGCCTCCAGAACACAGAAAACGAACGTTAATGTTCCTTTTTTTCTGTTTTTCTGCTTAAGATGCTTCATTTCTGTCACACTGGTTCCAGGTAAATATCCTGCCAGTGATCAGAACAACCAGCAAACATCAGGGAGGAAGAAAGAAGCTCGAAAATGACCAAGAAGGAGGATAAAAAGATGTGGTTAAGATAAGCATAGCTCCCCCAAACCCTCAGGCCTTTTTACACCCAAGTTAAAAAAGTGGGGGAGGTCCATCTTATTTGTTTTTCGTGTTAATTTACAAGCATAAATTTTATCAATACTTCATCCGGTTGACTGAAATGTTCTCCAGCAGCCTTAAAATGTTCATAAGAGGAGATAAAAGCCTGTTTTCTAATATTTCTTCTGATCTCTGGAGGTTAAACAGGGTTCAGAATTGCATCACGATGCACCAGTTTGTAAAATCCCAGAAAAAAGCATGAAAATTGGTATTATTTTCCTCCTGGAGCCTATTTTAGTATTCAGTGACCAGCCATGAGAAATGAGGCCCTAAACTATGTCTGTGTTTTTATTTACTCTATTAATTTGCTTATTTAAAACGGGATTCAGCAACATCTTAAAAACTGATTGGATTAAAGGTGGATTCCTCAGCATGACTTTGTTTTAACAAATTAAAAAGAGGAAAATTAGGACGTTAACACGGGCAGATTTTCTACGTTTATCTCATTTGGGTCCTGATATTCTGTCGGTGGGGGAGCTCTCGGAGGATTAAGCCGCACAAATGTCAGAGAAAGGGCGAGGAAAAGCACACATGGGGCTGCAACACTTGGCATTTCCAGCCTGCTGACTAAACCCTTCAGCCAGTCACATGACCTCCAAGAGGAGCCCCCCCCTCCCAGTTTCAGCCTGTTTCTGCTCGGTTTCAAGCTCAAATCTGCCAATTTCTCGCAATTTGCTCCAAAATAGAGTGAATGAAGTCGGACAAAAGATTCTAGGGGGGGATTTCGTACTTCACTGTACAGATATAGTGTCAGAAAATGCAGCATTAGCTGCAAAAAAACCCCCAAATGTATCAATAATTCACAGGAAATGCTCCTTCCATCGGTAAGGGCTGGCTCTGGGCGGATTATTGTCTCTGACAAATCAGAGCTGCAAACTGGGAGAGGAAACATAAGTGAGGAAGAGGCTTGTTTTTTCGTGCTTGAGACACTCTGGCCACATGAAAAACACCCAAAACCTCCTCCCCTTTTGCTCAAATCTCACACGGCATGCTGGATTTTTCTCGGTGGAGGGACCAGAAAGCGAAGGCCTGGAGTTTCCACAGAAGCATCTCGATGGCTTCTTTGTTATTCAGAACACGGCCTCCTCAAAGCCGACATGAATTCAAAACACACACACACACACATACACATACATACGTGTTTTCATTATATACAAGGACACATGACAGAAATAGGGCAAATGTTTAGGTGGCTTTCCAAAGGTTCTTAGGACAATAGAAATGTTTGGTTTAGAGGTATTTTGGGGCTTCCAGAACACTCTAGTATGCTCAGAAAAATGAGGACATATGAAAAGTGTCCTCATATTTCTACGCGTCCTGATATTGAAGGTGTGTATTCACAAAATTGTCCTGATATATCATGAAAACAAACACACACACACACACACACACACACACACACACACACACAC